GGGGGTCGCGCGGGGCGGGGGGGCGCGGGGGGGGGCGGGTGGGGGGGGGGGGGGCGCGGGGGGCCGGGTGGGGGGTGTGGGCGGGGGTCGTGGGCGGGGGGTGGGGCTGGGTTTTTTTCTTAGACTTTTTGTGAAAAAGGTCATTAGTGACAGGTGTGAAAAAGGAGCTCAAACCCAGCCCTTCAGGGGGGACCCCTCACCGCAGGGACCCTCACCGCCTTTAGCACTACTTATTAAAATATATAAGAACAAAGAAAAAAGAACGAAGGGAAAATGCAGAAGGCCTATGCCCATGCGAGGCAGGTCCAAGTCTCCCACCGGGGGTTTAAACCAATGCCCCCCCTGTCAGGTCAGGGCACAAGACTTAAGGGGGGAACAGGCAACCGACCTGGTGCACAAGCTAATATAAATATATATTATATAATTTAATATAAAATATATATATATATATAATATATTTAAAAATATATATATATATATATAATATAATATATATATATTATATATATATATATAATAATTTATTTTATGCAAGGAATCGCAAGAGCAGGCGAAAAATCACAAAAATGATTTCCCCGGCCGAAGGGAAATCATTCTCAACCTTTGGAACAAGGTACGCAGTGCTTTCCATTTTTCCCCCCACATGGACAATCCTTGGAGCCAGCCACGCTAGCGTAGGCAGCCCGCTTTCGGGAGAAAAGGGTTACAGCTTTTCACTCATTCCCTGCATGCTCGACCAACTAAAATTTTAATAATCTAAGGAATTCGCAAAGCAGGTGAAATATACACAAACACTGATATCTGGCCGAGGGAGACTCGAGCCTACGAACCTTGGAACAAGGTACGCAGTGCTTTACCATTCTCACCACACTGGACAATACCTTGGCGCCTAGCTCATGCTTAAATGCCAAGCGTGTAGCTAGGGGCCAAGGTACTGTCCAGTGTGGTGAGAATGGTTAAAACACTGCGTGCCTTGTGCCAAGGTTCGTAGGTTCGGCCAGAGATCAGTGTTTATATATATATATATATATTATATATATATATATATATATATATATATATATATATATATATATATATATGCAATAAGATCACAGTAAACAGGTGATTTCAAAATATGCAAAACAACCACTCTGAAAGAATAGAGAAATTCCAAGCGCTTTCGTGACTACTCACATTATCAAGGAACATAGTTCCTTGATATGTGAGTAGTCACGAAAGCACTTGGAATTTCTCTATTCTTTCAGAGTGGTTGTTTTGCATATATATATTATATATATTATATATATATATATATATATATATATATATATATATATATATATTATATAATCTCGATATCTTCAGATATCAACACTAATAAAATATAAATTTCACAAATAACAAGCAGTTAGTAGCAGTAACTTATGACGACGTTTGGAGCCATTCTGGCCTGATCTCATACCAAGCCGCGGGGGCGTTGACCCCCGAAACTTCTCCAGGTATAGTCAAGCCACAACTGTTGTGAAGACAAAGGTCCAGAACGGACCAAAATATTGTCATAAGTTCTTTATGCAATAATATCGCAAAAATCATTCTGAACCTAACGAAAAGCAATATATTTCATGTTATTTGTTTATAATTAAATTATTGTAAACTTATCTAAAATATATATAGTTGGATTAGGCTAGATTAAATTGCGCTTGTTATAAGGTTAGGTAAGTTTTCTAATTTTTCTTTTTTGGTACAAAATCATTAATTTTTACATTAACATAAAAGAAAAAAAACATTTCTTTAAACGTGTATGAGAAAATTTTAGAAAGGACTTAATTTTAAATGAGTTCTTGCTAATTGACCAATTTTTACCTATTCGGCACGACATGTATAATTTATTTAACATACTGGCCGTCTCCCTCCGAGACAGAGTTCTCCGAAAATTAAACACTTTCACCATCATTCACTATCACTGTCTTGCCAGAGACGCGCAGATACTACAGTTCAGATACCCAAATATCTCCCGACTGCAAATATCCCCACCCTTCCTTCAGAGTGCAGGCACTTTACTTCACACTTCCAAGACTGAAATTCAGCTAACTGGTTTCCCTGAGTCCCTTCACAAAATGCTACCTTGTTCACACTCCAGCATCTCAAGTCCCAAAAACCATCTGCGTCCACTCACTCCCAACACCCTCACACACACTTGCTTGGTGTCCAAGCCCCTGACTTGGAGGGTAAATCTGTGAAGGAGGGAAGGCGAGATAGAGGTCTCCCTAGGAAAGGTTGGAGGGAATAATATAGGTTTTGTGTGCGAGGGGCTTGGGCACCTAGCAGAAGTGTGTGATCAGGTTAGACTAGGAGTAGAGGCAAATGGTTTTTAAGACTTGACTAGCTGTCCGGAGTGTGAGCAAGGTAACATGCAGCTAGACTGCTGTTGTAGTAAGGAAGCATGATTTTCATTAGCCGATACAGCGTGAGTCTTTCTGCTATACAGTCACTGCCCTTCATAGTGTGAGGAATATTCCCACAACCAGTCGTGAGTGCAATCAACCACATCATTATTAGCTGACGGTGTATATGTTGAGATGTGTAAATCTTTGTATATACTCTCTGATCTCATTTTTGGGGATTGAAACATCTTTGTTGGTAAACAAGTGACATAAACAATGAGTGACTTCGTGTAGTCGATAAAGTTTAAACCCAATTAAAGATAATAATAATAATAATAATAATAATAATAATAATAATAATAATAATAATAATAATTTATTACATTCTCTGTAAGCATGAGTATTATCTTTCCATTAATAGTTATAAAATGCATTATATAGTAATTACATTAATTACTCTAAGTAAACGGTCAAGGCACAGTCAGAAATTTTTAAAGCAGGTTTATTAGAAAATGTTTTCTTAGAGGTACATAAAGAGGACTAGAAAAAAATCACTGAACACACACACACACACACACACACACACACACACACACACACACACACAAAGAAAATTCAAGTTTCATTAGTAGGTCTGAATGTCACTTATTCACCTTAAATCGGCCAAGGTGGGCAGTAAACTTATGATTCAAGTTTACAGCTTTCTCATCTATATTTTTTTCCCTCAGTATTTTTCCCGTTTTTTAAATATACTGCATCTCGTTGGTATACAAGTCTAGATCTCTTCAGGGGTGTGTTGAAGCCCGGGAGAGGGGCTCTTGCTGCAAGGATATGAAGCTTTCGTTATTTTCAGGGTGAATCTTGACTGCCTACCATTTTCCAGTACTGTTTGCTCCCTACTGGCTTAGCGTTTTCTCGTAATAACAATAATAATAGTAATAATAATAAGTGATAATAATAATAGTAATAATAATACTAACAGTAATAATAATAGAAATAATAATAATACATGTTCAGTTACTGGTGGTAGGAACCTGAAGAAAATATTCCTAGTTTTAATATATTACAAGTAAAATATCTACTACGAGCTTGTAGCTGGTCAGCCTAGAGGTTTTACGAAGTCGAGAGTGGTCTTGACCTTCAGGTAGTGCGTGTGCTCTTCAGCAGCCAGTAGTGCGCCTTCTCTACCAACAGGACGGTTAGGTTTTGACAGTCTGGCCGGGTGTAATTCTACCCTCAGGAAGGGTGCGATCTTTCTCATATCTTTACTGAACTGCATTATATATGTCACCCGCTTAACACAGCAAGCACTGAATGTGAAAGCACACGGTGACTCACGGGATACGCTAACCTCCAAGAGGATGACCACATCATACGCTGGAAACAGGTTTACATTGCTAATGATGGTAGTAAGAAATCTCTGCCGAAGATCTCAAAGGATGGTTTTCAAAAATAAGATCCCAAGTGTTCATAGTTACCTTGAAAAGAATACTGTGAAGTGTTAATGCAAACAGTGTGTGTTATTAACAAACTACAAATGACATTCATTACTTGATACGCTCCAATATATGTTCAATGCAGCTAGCTGTGTTTGCAGAGTTTTCCTGCCTCGAGAGATGCCCAGCCAGCACGAATAAGGAGTTACCTGTTTACAGTGAGGTCAAACTGCACAGCTCTCGAAAACTCACTTTCCTTCACACAGAACTCAGAATCTAATGCACATTCAGTATAATAATACTGATATACAGTGTATATATTGTGGAGGAATACGAACCGACTTTTTGTATTTCATTGTTTCCTTTTTCTTTGTAAATAATAACATGATACACAGGCGTTTTCTCTAGGACGTTTTTTTTTTTTTTTTTTTTTTCTTATTCAACGGTATTCTCCCGGCCCGGGTCTTTTCCAAGAAGTGGTGACCCGGCCTTGGCTCCCTATCTTAATAGCGTAAAATTTCTGTGAAGTTATTAAATTAGATTTAAAAAGAATAGCAGAAATTATATAAATAAATATACAATCACATTAATATTACCATTTTAAGTTCATATCCTTATATTTTATATTATATATATATATATATATATATATATATATATATATATATATATATATATTATTCGTGCCGAATAGGCAGAACTTGCGATCTTGGCTTAAATAGCAACGCTCATCTTGCCATATAGGACAAGTGAAAATTTGTGTATGCAATAATTTCGCCAAAATCATTCTGAACCTAACGAAAAAAATATATTTAACTGTGTTTGTTTAGTATTAAATTATTGTAAACAAATCTAAAATATATTTAGTTGGGTTAGTCTAAAATAAATTGTTCTTGTTATAATAAGGTTAGGTCCATAGGATTTAAACTATACAGTCGATATGATTTAAATCTAATGAATCAACTTGGGATAACAGTCCATCAGCTCAATGGGTAAAAAAACAATAAATCGGCCATTACCTTTATGTAAAAATGGGGTTTGGGTAACCCATAAAGTAGGACTTAGTCGCTACACATGTTCTGTTCATGGTCAGCCAATTAGAAACACTGAGGCCTTGTGTCGCTGGAGGGCAGAGGTGAGAATCTGGCAGGCAGTATATAAGACGGAGGCAACACACAACAGCAGTCAGGACCTCGACTTCTCTTGAGACAATGGTAGGATTCCACTTAATGGCAATTTACAGTGTGTTTCATGTCAGTAATAGTGCCCTTAATGCTACAGTATTTAAGAAGTACTGAATATAATTAGTATACGAGTGTTTAATAATTTATGAATGTACAACGCAAGTCTGCCAAATATGCTTTTTTTTTTATCAACAGAAGCTACTGTTGATCGCTTTTAGTGCTGCCCTTTTGTTGGCTTCCTGCCAAGCTGGTCGTATCTACAGTCATGGCTCCTCCATTGGCATTGGAGGAGGCTTTGGAGGAGGCTTCGGAGGAGGCTTTGGAGGAGGTTTCGGAGGCGGCTTCGGAGGTGGCTCACATATTGGAGGAATATCACACGGTTATGGTAGGAGATACTATGGTGGTCTCGGTACAATCATTACTCCAGCCATCGGTGGCCTCGTTAGCTCATCGGTTAGCCATGGCTACGGCGGTCACGGTGGTATTGGTGGTTCCTTCCTTGGACACGGTGGTTCCTTCCTTGGCCACGGTGGTTCATTCGGAAGAGGTTTGTATGGTTACAGATACGGGTATGGAAAGTAATTGTATTAATAAGTACTATTCCTAAACCATCTTAATGTCGCTCTGTGTTTCAAATTATGTTCACACTGTGAAGCAACAATGTCAATAAAATGTAATTTGAAATTTTTATCGTATTAAATCCCTTTTGGTACTTCCCCATGGAAGTATATATATATATATATATATATTATATATATATATATATATTATATTATATATATATATATATATATATATATTATATTATATATATATCATGGGGATGTATGACTCACGACTCACGAATTCGTGATGACACGATTACAAACAAACCATACCACGGGCGGGGTAGAACCCGCGATCGAGGAATGAGGAATCTACTGACTGAATGTTTAATGCTTAGTTCAAGTTGTAGACCGTTAGATAACTGGACTTCTAACCATGCGAAATTTTGTTGTGAAATCTGACATCATTGCTTGGTTCTGGATTTACACATTGTTCCAGTGCATGATTTGATGAAAAAATCGGATTTATGTGAACGTATAAGAGCCACAGCGAAGGGATTTGTCAGTCACATCTGGTACTTGATCCTCCCCCCCCCCCGCTCTTTTATTGTTAACGACAAGGTGCCTACTGAAGAGAATGGTAATATGGATAAAGAAAGGAGATAGACGAATACGGTAAGATCATTATGTGGTTACATGGAACTAATAATGTAAAATTACTATGAAAGAAACAAAGTATTTGAAGGAGTGAGGATCATTATAGCACTTTACTGCTGGGAGGTTGGAATGAAACTGGCACGTAGAAAATTCTGCAAATTGAAGGAGGATAAATCCATTATGGAGTGTTTTCAGTGAGAACAAATGTGACTGCAAGGAGCTAGAGCGAAAAAAAAAGCCAGCACGAGATACAAGAGAAATCACTTCTCCTTGTCAAGCTAGCTCTTCAAGGATGCATTGATCCTCATGATGGGTTCTGAATCTGAGGAAGTAGAGCTCCACTTTACTTAATCTTCTCAAACCTGATTGCCTCCCAGTTTCCCAGGCGGTGTATGATCTCTTCATTTACGCACCAGCCTTGACATCTTTCTGGTATGTCTGTCAGGAAGATAGGAGAATGTCATCCAGGTGAGAGTCATAATCTGATACTGACCCCCCGTCGGGTCAAACATGCGTCGTGTCGAGCATAAGAATCCTTAGATTTAAGATTTTTGCCGCCGAAGCGGCTAGTTTTTTTATAAACATTCCATATATCTTCTGTGTATAGTAGCGCTTGAGATTATGGATACACAAAAGCCCAAGGAAGTCGCCCACAAATGGGTTATGAGAATGGCTAGGTATTTAGGAATTAACATTCGGTCTGTTACAAGCAAATTCGGAATACTTGAAGGAATGAGTATCTGAGATTAAACAGTTGATGGATTGCAGTGATGAGCATCGGTGAGTTCTGCATTTCTGGCTCATCATTTGGTGTGCAGGCATTGTAATTGCAACCTCTAAAACTCAAGTATATCTAACCGGGTTTCCCTTTATATATTACATTGTTCACACTAACAGTACGTCTTTTCCAAAAAATATTTTTTTTAAGTTTGAAAGATATATATTTATTTCATTGACAAAAAAAATTTTTTTGGGACCAAACCTAACGTAGAAACCTCAGATAACCTATCTTAACATAATTTGTTTTTGCTAAATATATCACAGATGTATCACAAATCGGTTTATATATTACATATAATCAGTGAAATATGTTATTAATGTTCAGATACCCATGTTCAGATACCCATGTTCAGATACCCATGTTCAGATACCAATACCCATGAAAAAACCGTCGTTCCAGAATCTTTCTAATTGGTCAATGGCTTAACACACCTCAAGCCGACCTCCAACAATACAGCTCATCCTGCTTGCTGCCTTCTGACACTCCCAGCTCCTGCCGCTGCCTTCGCCATCCTTTCCTAGTGAGCCAAGTACCGACATCATCCAAGCCTCACCATCTTCATCTACGCCTCCAGTACTTCGGTACCACATGTCCCAAAGTGGTTGGGCCACTTGCCTTGATTCTCCTCTTCCCCTTCCTTCCCATCCTTTTCCAGTTATTTCCATCCTTCCTTATCCTTCTTCCTTCCCATCTCACGACAGCTTTCGTCGTCGTCTTCGATTCGATTCGATTGATCTCCACAGATTTATGGCAATAACATTTTTAATCTGCTTATTCCGCAGAAAGCATCCGTGCACGACACACACACACACACAAACACACACAAAACACACACACACACACACACACACACACAAAGAATTATTCGATCGAAGACCAGGGCAGAATACAAAGGGATGTGGACAGGCTGCAGACCTGGTCCAGCTATTGGCTCCTGGAGTTTCAACCACCCAAAATGAGGGAAACCTAAAAAGGGGGGGGGGGGGGTTTTTTTTTTTTTTTTGGGGGGGGGGGAAAAATTGGGAAAAAGGGGGGGGTTTTTTTTTTGGGGGGAAAAATTGGGGGGGGGGGGGTTTTTTTTGGGGGGGGGGCCCCCAAAACCCTTTTTTTTTGGGGTTTTTAAATTTAAAAGGGCAAAAACCAAAAAAAAAAATTTTTTTTAAAAAAAAAAAAAATTTTTTTGGGGAAAAAAATTTTTTTTAAAACCCCTAAAAAAAAACCCCTTTTCCCCTTTTTTTGGGAAAATTTTTTTTTTTGGGGGGTTTTTTTTTCGGGAAAAAAGGGGCCTTTTTTCCCCGGTTTTTGGAAGAAAAATTTTAAAAAAAAAAAAAAAAAAAGGGGGGGGGGAAAATTAAAAAAAAAAAAAAACCCCCCCAAAAACCCCCAAATTGGGGGGGACAAAACCTTAAACCCCCAAAAAGGGGGAAAAGGGGGGCCCCCCCCCAAAAAAACCCCCTTTTTGGGGAAAACAAAAAGGGGGGGGAAAATTTTTTTCCCCCTTTAAATTTTTTTTTTTTTTTTTCCCCCCCCCCTTCCCCTTTTTTGGTGGGGTTTTTAAAATGGGGGGGGGTTAAAAAAACCGGGGGGGGCCCGGACCCCCCCCAAAACCCCAAAAAAAAAAAAAAAAAAAAAAAAAAAAAAAAAAGCCCGGAAGAACTACAAAGGGGGGGGGGGGTTTTTAAAAACCCTGGGGGCCCCCCGGAAAATTAAAAGGGGGGGAAAGGGAAAAAACCGCAGACGGAGTACATTTTGGGGGGCCAGAGACTACAAACCTCAATAAAAAAAAAACCGGGGGGTTTTTAAACCCGGGCCCCCAAAAAAAAAAACCCCCCTTTTTTCCCCCCCAAAACCCCCGAGCAGCATTCCGAAATTTAAAAATTTTTTTTTTTTGGGGGGGGGGGGTTTTTTTTTGGGGGGGGGGGAAACCCCCCCAAGGGGGGAAAAAAAAGGGGGGGGGGGTTTTTCAAAAAGGGGCCCCGGCTAAGAGGTATGCCCCGGGGAAGGGGGGAAAATCAACCTAAAGACACTGGAGGACAGGGGAAAGGGGGAACTGATAAACAATTTCAAAAAACTGAGAAAAAATTGACAAGGTGGGCAAAGGGCAGGGTGTTCCAGAATTGGGCACCCGTAAAAAAGGGGGGCACAGTTGGAAAAAATTGGAAAAAAGGGCACGGTTGGGAAACACAGGGGTGTTTGGGTAGTATTTCTTCAGCCACGAATTTGTCAGAGAAATGGAATAGTTTGGGAAGCGGGGGTTTTTGGAGGGAGGATTCATACATAGCTTTTTTAAACGAGGGAAAGATAAAGATCACGGTTCAGGGAGAGCGCCTCGTAGCGACCAGGGGAAGAGGCGGGGCCCGGAGCTTTTGGAAATCGACCCCCCGAACCTCAACTAGGTGAGTTTCACACACACAAAAAATTATCAAAATTTTAAGGGCCCTATAACATGTTAAAGCGAGGGTGTGTGTGTTTTGGACCTAATTATGGCTTTCGGGTTAAATTTTACAGGGGTCTTGGCCCCGCCCTTTTTCCTTGGGCGCCCTAGGGGTTTACTTTCTCTACCTGCCAAGAGCTTTACATACCTCTTCTTAAAGTCTGTATGGTACCTGCCCCCACCCCTTTCTTTCTAAGACTAAATTTCCAAATTCCTGACAAATCTAAAAATTTTTGTGACTCTTTGAGTCTTCAAAAATTACCCAAATTTTGGGACCCCTTGTTTTGTGTCCCCTCTTTTTAGTGAAAGGGTTTAAAGAAAAACCAAACCCTTTATAAATTAGACAAATGTGCAACTCTTTTGGGGATCTTTTTTGAGGAAAAGTTTGCCACCAGTGGCTTCATCAAATCCTTTCAAAGGAAATTTGTGAAGGAAAAGGAGAAGAATGAGGAATCAGCCCCCTCAACCCTTTAGGGCGAAAGTGGGGCAGTTTCCTCAATCTTGAAAAGAATTTCAGCATATGACGGGAAATGGGGTTATATAACCCTGGAGGGGAGGTGCAAACAGTGGTTGGGGGGGGTCCAAATTTTCCCAAAGTGGAAGTAGGTCGGGCCCAAGGGTTAGGCAAGCGGGAAAATTCCCCAAATATTTTAAGACCCCAAAAGTTAAAGTTTCTGAAGTATTGTAGGGTGAAAGGTTTCAAAGGGAAACCCACCCGGGTGTTTAAAATTTGACATATTGTCTAATTGATAAATTTTCACATTGATAAATTAGACACTTTTTCTAATTTATCAACGTGTCGGTTCTTTGAACCATTCATCTACAATACTGTCAGACACTTCAACTTCTTGGGATCTTAATTCTTGGGAATTCTTCGCTTGCCTAACCCTTGGGCACGACCTACTTCCACATTGGACAAATGTGACACCACCTACGACTGCTGCACCTCTCCTGCCTACGGTATATAAGCCACTTCTCCGCTCATATGCTGTATTCTGTTCAAGATTGATGGACAGACCACATCGACTCAAGGTTGAGGGACTGATTACCTTATTCTCATCCTATTCTTCACGATTCTCCTTTGTATGGACTGATGAAGCTACTGTGTGGCGAAACGTTTCCTCAATAAAGATACCCGAAAGTTGCGCATGTGTCTAATTTATCAATCTGTCCTCCTTGTCGATTACTCTCAGTATTTTTTGTTTCCCCTATCCCTCCTGTCCTACAGTGTCGTCAGGTCAAGTTTCCTTAACCTCTCCTCGTAGAAC